ACTTTTCTAACATTTCGCTCGCGCTTTAACGTTCGCTTGTGGACAGCAACCTTTTTTGGTGGCTGAAGAGTGCTTTAACGCTCGCTTGTGGACAGCAACCTTTTTTGGTGGCCGACGAGTGCTTGGCTGCAGGTGTTTATTTCTGCCGTGTTTCCATCTGTGGATCACCAAGTGCCGCAACAATACTTTCTTCCTCAGAGAGATAAGATCAATCTGCTGCAAATAGTTGTCTGCCAGAGACTACGATGGTGCAAAATAGGTGTAGTAGGATCGACCAAAGGTTGAGTAATGCGAAGGACTACAGGGACAGGCCATACACGGGTGCTGAGTCGAATGGTCTTCGTCCGAGAAAGTTGACCTGTTCCTTCCTACTTGAATCCCAATCGAACTCACGTAACAGAGGGATTAACCCTTTGTGGGTCTTACTCAATGTATGTGAGGGGTGGTCAAGCAAACACGCGTTGCTGTTGCTGTGCTTCCTCGCTGGTTGGTAAATTTGATTTCTTCATTCGGGTACGATTTATTTGAGCTAGGAGGACTCAACAGAGCTCTCTTTCTCACGACAATACACTGGAAATCCTCCAGGGACACCCAGCCTAGACTGGTGCCGTCAGTGTCCTCAGAAAGCTTTTCTGACACGGCCTCAAGACTCCGAGTCAAGAGATGCACTCCCATCCACGAAATGCGCGCATGGCGGATGGTCGTCTTTTCCAATTTCACCAGACCTCAGTCGATCGATACTGCAAAAATGTGTATGGTAGGTATGGTTGTTTTTACACCGTTGGAAAGCCTTGGAATTCAGCTACGCGTGGAGCACCATTTTAGTTGTCTCCTAGCAGCAAAACTCACAGAAAATGCGATTTTAAGTGTAAGGGTCACATACGACCCTTACGCTTATGTGAGACCCATAAATGGGTTAAGATGAACGTTATTTCTGACGTGACGCGAAAGTTCAGCTCACGTTATTTGGCTCACGTTATTTGGCTCGCGTGTTGTAAAACAACGCGAGTGACCTGCAGCTCACGTCGAAATTCGGAGTTTTACGCCAAATTTGACGTGAAATTGCGCGTCACGTCAGAAATAAGGTGCATCTTAACCTCTCTATTAACGAGGATCAACCTGTACGAAGGATTTGTGACATCCTTCACGATGCACAACAAGGAAGCAGCATGCCTGTACGTATGGTGAAGTTAAATAAAGATGGCATTGCAGCATAACACCCCTGGTCAAGAAAGAAGCTTTGTCTAAAATGTAAGCCAAACGCAAATTGCAACCTTTGGCCCAAGTAACTGCAGAGGAGCACAAAGACAAGAAAAGGCAGAATACAAATTAAATATATTAATTTTCAATTTTATTTCACCGTCCAATGGCAGAACAAAAAGCCAATGCAAAGGAGGGGGTGTGAGAGTACATACCCCCCCCCCCCCCCCCCAGAGTGTGCAACGCCTGATCCAGCCCTGCATGGGGTCTTGGTCGAGCGTAATCGGATCTTTGCGTCATAATACCGTACACATCTGAGAGGAACCCGGGTAGTCGCGGGTACTCTCGGATCAAAAACAATGGTGCCCTGCCTCGAGACCGGCCTTGTGCTGGTGTGGAGTGTACGCATGACATCAGAAGATCCGATTACGCTCGACTAAGACCCTATGCAGAGCTGGATCAGGCATAGAACACTCTGGGGGGTTATGTACTCTTGCTTATAGAGGTTATCGTTATAAGGGTAGGTCGACTGTATGTTGCCCATGGTGAATAGCGGCGGGACAAGCCAGCAAAAGAGGCGAGTGAGCCTACAACTTGGCATGACATTTAACATAGTCTTTGAACTGTCTAACATTGGATATTGTCTTCATTTCCATGGGCAGCTTGAGCCAATACGAATATGCAGAAAAGATAGGGGATTTGGTAAACATAGTTAACAAAGCTCTGGGAAGTACTATGCCATTGCGAGTGTCCCGTGCAAAAGTAAACCAGTTATACTTGCTGAGATGTTCAGGGACAATGTTCAGTTTCATACAATGGACCAGAACGCATGACTGTCTCTGTGACAGGATAGAGATGGGGCAGGTGGAGGCCAAACTATAATCAGTAGAGGGGAATAAAGTGGGTTTACGAAAAATAATTTTTAACACCCGTTTGTGAAATGATTCGATTGATTCTGCAAACAAAATCCGCTCAATTTCTGATTAATTTCTGAGTGAACAAAATGTGTGCTAATTTCATACTTCTAAACACAAGTTGGTGTGGCTGCCCAAAGGAACTTCTCCAGTCTTTTTGATGCGTTCTTGCAAGAACTTGGTGGTGGTTGTGGTTGTGTTTATTTGAATTCGCAAACCGAACGGACTGAACATGTCCAATGACAAGGAAGCGAATGAAGTCCAAGTAACCCAGAAATGGGGACACAGATGTGAAGAAAATATGGGAACAGAAGGCTCTCAGCAAAGGAAGAAGAGAAAAGAAGGAGAGAAAAAGAATAAAGGAGAGAAAGGAGAGAAAGAAGAAAAATCGTGGTCACGGCGAGAAGAAAGCTTTTAGCAAAAAGAGAAAGGAAAGGATAAAGGAGAAAAGGGGGAAACACATCGTGGTCACGGCCAAAGCCGGAGTAGCGGCAAGACACAGTAGACATAACCACAACAGGAACAAGAGCGCATGAAGTATGGGCCATGCCGGCCCAGAAGCGGAAGACACTGACAGGAAGAGAGAAGAGAAGAGAGAGAAGTCGAAGCATTGCACATCTACACCCACACATCCACCCACCCACACATCCACCCACCCACACCCACACCCACACCCACACACCCACACACACCCACACACACCCACACACACTCACACACACACACACGCACACACATACACACACACATACATGTACATACCCACACCTACACACACACATGCACACATACTCGGACACATACACCCCCCCCCCCCCCCACACACACACGCACATGCGCACGCGCACACATACACACACACACACACACATATATATACACACACATGTACATTGACAGCCACACATACAGTTGCTTTGCAATGTTCTCAGTTCATAGAAGAAACGGGACTGCTGCAGCACGGAACTGACGAGCAAAGGAGATGGAGCGAATACTGCTAGGCAGGTTGTTCCAGCATAGCGCACCCTGGAAGGCAAATGTCCTCTTTCCAGAGTTGCTGCGGGCGGGTGGCAGGCAGAGACCCATGCCAGAGTCCAGGCGCGTGGACCGGCCACAAGCTGGCAGCAAGAGAACCTGAAGCTCAGGACTTGCTTGGCCGTAACGGCAGCGCCATGCAAGGAATGCCAGCTTCTGCTTGTATACTTCAGTAACCCGATACAGTGAGAGGCGCTCCAGTAGGTCATGTGCGGATGTCCATGGCGGGCGTCCGAACACTACACGGGCAACACGGTTTTGCAGAACCTGTAGTCGATGACAGTGCCTGGCTGCCAGAGATGTCGAGAATGCATTTGATCCATATAGAAGATCAGGCATTATGATGGACTGGAAGTAAGTTATCCGACCCTGTGTGCTGAGGCAACGCCGCATCCTCCACAGGACTCCGATCTTTTGTGATACACGGTTTGCACAGCGGGTTACGTGGTCATCCCAAGACATGTTGCTATCAAATGTTATGCCAAGGTACCTGGCAGACTCCACAAGTGGCAGCAGGGTCCCGTTACAGTTCACCGAGAGTGGAGTATGCTTCTCAGGTAGGTTCTCAGAAATGGAGATCACCTGGCTTTTGGAAGCATTCAGGATCAAGCCACGGTCGTTTAGCCAGTTAGCAATAGCTGAAGCTGACGCAGACAGAATTGCAGACACTTCGGGCTTAGTCGGTTTGCTGCAAGTGAGACCAATGTCATCTGCAAACTGCAAAGACAAAGCTTGTCCAGCAACATAGGGTATTTCCCGAGTGTATACGTTGAACAAAATGGGGCCGGAGCACAGATCCCTGTGGCACTCCGCAGGTGCAGTGAGTGATAGTGCTGCGTGATGGTCCGATACACACACGCTGGGTCCGTTCGGAGAGGTAAGACATGAACCACCGCAGGGCTGTGGCCGTGACGCCAACATTGAAGAGGTGGAGAATTAGTTGGCGGTGTCTAACTTTATCGAATGCTTTTGACATGTCTAGTAAGCAGACACCTGTGTACATTCGTTTGTCCGGGGCAGTAAGGATACGGTTGGTGATGAGAGCTAGTGCATCCTCCGTGGAATGGCCGCTGCGAAATGCAAACTGAGTGGAGGGAAGTGACTCCGTGATGTTCATGACTGATACAAGTTCCTTCTGCACCAGCTTCTCTAATAGCTTGGACAGGATTGGGAGAAGGGAAATGGGACGGAAGTGAGTGGGAACTGCTGGGTCACCAGCTTTATATAGCGGTGATACGTGTGCAAGCTTGAAGGCAGAGGGTACTGTACCACGGGATAGTGCGGCATTGAAGAGAGCAGCAACAGACGGAGCAATGATATCAGCACAGCACTTCAGAAGTACTCCTGGGATGCTGTCACTGCCTGTGGCCTTGGCTGCATTGATGCCTCTCATGAGACGATAAACAGAGATGGTTCGGACATACTGGAAAGCTGATAAGGCTGTGGGGCGTGATGGACCCTGTGACATGGTGAGCACAGGGGGTCTATCATTATCAGTCACAACTTTACTGAAGGCTGTGGCGACATCCTCAACATCACACGTTGGCTCAATACGTTGGCGAGTTCGAGATGTTACAGTGTTGATGATATGCCACAGTTTGCGTGGATTGCGACTATGTTCAGCACATTGGGTTTGGAAATACTCATTGCGTTTCCTACGATAGGCATTTCTGGCAGCCGCACGGGCACGCCTGAATGCCGAGTAGAGATGGGTGCTGTCCTTGTTCTGAAGCCACTGGCGATGTAGCCTTTTCTTGCGACACTGGAGTTGGTACAATTCCCTGTCAGACCACGGGGGATATGAGCTCGCCTTCCTGCTGGTGGATTTGAGAGGGGCATGTCTGTCAAGAACACGCATGAATTTAGTGTGCCAAGTGCTCCACATCTCATCAGTGGAGGAAGTCGATTGGAACACGCTCAGGTTGGCATTGGCAAGCTCATCCCGAAATTCTGGAAGGTTTATGGTGCGCATGTTGCGGGTTAAACTGGTGCCCTGGCGTTGCGAGGAGTGTTGATGCTTAGCGGACGGTAGCGCGAGGTCCAGTCTAGCATGTACGGCTGAGTGATCACTCAGAGTACAGGGTATGACATTGCAGGAGACTGTAGCAGGGCTACTGGTGAGGATCAGGTCCAGTGTTGTGCCGACTGGACATCTTGGGGTTATTCGGGTTGGGACAGAGACTAAATTTCTCAAACTGAAAGAGTGAATTGCGTCATTGAAACGGTGGAGCCGGGGTGTTGCAGCTGAGCTAACATTAATGTTGAAGTCACCAAACAGGGTGACAGATGGTGATACCACTGCAGCCTGGTGAAGAGCCTGCTCAAATCTGTCCCAATAATGAATTGATTCAGCAGGGGGGCGATACATACACGCAAAAAGATGGCGCTAATTGGAGTGGTGCAGACTGATCCACACGGCTTCAATACCGTCCACCTTCAAATCTGGCTGTACGGTGACAGGAAGTTATCATGGCAAAATTAGAAAAACGTTAAAAAGAACGTTTTGGTTGTTAAACTTTCCAGTTTTACAGTATTACAAAAATACTGTCACATGTACAACTCGAATCGGCACATAAACAAAATTTAATAATACATCTAGTGCTAATGCTAGCTAGCTATTCCGTGGCTCAAATAAATTGTGTCATTGGCACTGGTGAGAAAGTCGAGTTCTGAAAATGTGTTTGTTCCGAACGTTCCCACGTTCACTTCCTAGTCGATACGTTACATCTTCAGATAGCAGCATTGTCTGCTCCGACAGTCTGCTTGACGCAAACGAACGTCTGCTGGAGCTTAACGTTGCTTGGACTATCGTGCTGGATCACCGAGGGCATCATCCGCAAGTTTGCAATCCTCACACGCACAGAAAGAAGCCATGTGATAACAGGACTCCGCCGCGCTTTTTTTTCCGTATCGAGAATGAAGCACTGAGGCAAGCGCTGAGGCAAATTGTCAGCGTTGCTGAGAAAGCAAAACTCCCCACACGCAACTGACAAACAAAAGGAAAGTACTGTAGATCACTGCCGTTGCTTCCAAAAAATCTATTTCGAAGTACAATCGATAACTACCCACGCACGCCACCGTAGTTCTACACCACGACTACGACTAGACAGTACCGCTCTTGCGTGAAGCTTCCCAGCCCAAAATTTGAGCTGCGAAGATTCTCACGCCATCGCGTTCGCGGGAAGCTGGTGGGTGGATCACACGACCTAGTTCCGGATTCACGCTACCATGACAACCATCCCATTCCGCCAGCCCTTCCTGTGAGTGTGGACGTACCCTAGGGAGATCTGAGCGGTGTGGCGTGTCAAAGGCTTTCAAAAAACATACAGTAAAGTCTTGTATAAAAGCCGCACTTGAATAGAAGCCACCCTCGAATAGAAGCCACAATTTTGGGCCCATCAATTCACACATGAGCCTGGTTTTAGTGTTGACATACATAGAAATACCTGTCTTGTATAGAAGCCTGTCTCATATAGAAGCCTGCAAAATTTCACCAAAAAGTCGTAAAAGCCGCGGCTTTTATACACGACTTTACGGTATGCATAATCTTTACAGAGACCATCACTCGGTCGTAGCAATCCTGCTAAGAACCGTAGAGTGAAAGACAAACATTTTTTTAGAATGAGAGCCAATCATTACTTACAGGAACATCCTGTTTTGAGACGGGGAAAAAAAGTCTGCAGGTAAAGTTACAAGATTGTTTTGTCCCAGGAATCTGCAAAATATCGGGAAAGATAAATGTTAGAACTTAGAATCTAAGCTGAGTCCCTTTCCCGATCACACCTTTCTGAGCAATGGATTGTACAATTGAAGACCAAGCCATTCCTGTCAAACTGAACAACACCTGTGTTGACTTGCTCTACGTCAATCATACCGTATGTCCTCACCATTCATTTATTATAGTGCTAATGTATGACGCCTCGTGCTCTCCTCTCCTCACTCCTGTAGTGCCAATATCTCAATGTCTCAATACTCACCTATTATAGTTTGCTACAGAGTCAGTTTCATTTCATTATTATTTTACTCCCTGATGAAGCCCCAAGGGCGAAAATTTGGAGATTTCATTTCTTTTGAATAAAATTTGGAGCGTCAACGACCTTCGACTTTAAAGAGTTGGTGACTGATCATAATACAATTTGGAGTACATCTTGTTTATTGGTGTATACACCCGTTTTGAATCGAAATATTAGACGTTTTCTTGGCTAAAGTCCTTTCAACAAATTTCTAACCAAAAGGAATTTTGAAAATGTTGACCCTAAGGACTGTTTTCGCTGGGTGAGGCCCATGTAAGGAAAAAATTGGAGGTGTATCCAATTTCGAAAGAAAAGGTGTCAGCACCGACGCAATCCACACAGTCAAGTAAGCCAATTTTGTAACCGAACGTTTTCGTTCCCTTCTCATCATAGGTAAGTACAGGGAATAATGGAAAAATGTCAAAATACAGTCGAATGTCACTTATCCGACCACTTCCTTGAATCAGGCATGTTGGATAACTGAATATGTTGGATAACTGATATCATTTTTTATGTGCATATATGGCTGGATTTCACTGATTTATGTACACAATACTCAAATTATATTCATGCATATTCATGAATTGCTCCATGCACACGTACATGTTAGCATACTTGACCACATCTACTTCAAGTAAATGCATATTACACCGTATAATATACAAAAAAATTTTTTTTAGAATTTTACTGTTGAGAGTCATAAAATTACCACTCCCGGGCTTGTCGGATACTAGTAACCGACGTGCTCGGATAACTGGCGACCGGATAAGTGACATTCGACTGTACAGCAAATTAAAGAGTTACAGCAAAAGCATAGAATCTGATCGAGAACCTCACGCTATACCCGTGGGAAAAATATAAAATCTAGCAGAACTTGCCAAAACGGGGTGAAGATGAAAAAATGACTAAAACATAATGAAAACATCAGTGAGGAAAAGCATTCCTGACACTTTCACGAGGATTAGCGCCAAAGGAGGTGACGAAAAAGAGGCGACATTCTAACAATCAGCAATCAGCTATCAAGAGTCATCTGTCGGTTAGTGATAGGATTCCATCCCGAGACAGCGCGTCCACTACAGCGCGAGGCATTTCAGCGCGACCACTTCAGCGCAAGGCAATTCAGCGTGAGATAGTGTCAGCGCGAGGCACTTCAGCGCGAGGTAATGTCAGCGTGAGGTACCGTCAGCGCCAGGCACTTCAGCGCGAAGCACTTTCGCGCGTACTATAGTGCGCATTATCGTACGCACGGAATTAGTGGTCTCGTCCGCACTCTCGCTAGCGGGATTTGGTGATTTGGTGATTCTTTGACAAACTTGTTTTCACATAGTTTATTGAAATTATTTAGTAGGCATAAAGCGATATGGCAAGAGAATCCGTAGATTAGAAATGAAGAAGTCGACCAACATTCGAAAGAAATTCAAATTATTAGTGATTTCCCCATTTGCACGTCTGACTTCCAGGACGCGAACTCGATCGTTAAGTCGAGTGTATGAAGCTTTCCCGACTGGGATGCGCTGGCCAGCTTGCATCTGGCGGCAAAAAGCTCCATACGCGAAGCCTCCTTCTTCAGTTGCTCCAACAGCACACAAACGTTGGGATGGGTGGTGTTCACCTTTCGGCTAAATCGATGGTGCCATCCCTCAACACCGTTGTTGGTCCTGACGTCCCTTCCATGGCAACACCACAGCGACATCGGAACGTTAGCATTCTCAATCCACTGTGTCCACTGTCAATTGTTGAAGGTTTAAATCAGGGGCGATCTCCTCCAACCAATCGAAGGCGCCTGTGACCTGGTCTTCTGGCAGGAATGGCAATGCCATCAGTTGACGACAGCATACCCCGTACAAGTTGTCAACAGTCATTGATAGACACTAATACTAGTAATAGTAACTAATTGGTGTCCGTAAGTACATTAACATGTAAATGTACGTACATTAGCATGTACGGCGCTGAAGTGCCTCCCGCGGAAAAAATCTGCGCTGAAGAAATTGGCGCTGACATGTCCTGCGCTTTAAAATTTCGCGCTGAAATCATTGGCGCTGTCAAGACACGGCGCTGAAATGGCACAGAGCCGAAATGCCTCGCGCTAAGGCGGTCGCGCTGCACCGTATTCAGTCGCATACATCTACACCTCACACTTCCTCACTCTATCACATTCACCTGCTTCCACGCCTTCATTTCACTCACCTTTTGCAGTAGCTCACATCGTTGGAACACTCTCACATCTTTTCTTCTTCTTTCTTTCGTCTTCTCTCCAACTTTAGTTTTTTTTTTTTCACACCTCACCTTGTATACCTCCCACTATCCTATAGACGTATACGTATAAGTACTTCGAGTAGCTTGTTTCTCAACATACCTTCTATTGTGAGACGATTTTTCCCTGATGATAATCTCAAGAAAATCGATTAGGAACATCAATTTTAACATACATCACGGGTGTTTCGCAGTGGCCACTCGTCAAGATGGCGGCAAATCCGAGAGTACAAAAATTTCGACTCTGCCTATGCACGTGGCGGATGCGAATCTCGCACGTGCATGCAAAATCTAGCCTTCTGCAGAGCTGGGAAGAGCAAGTGTGTAGCCAGTGTAGGAACCAGGGAGTCGTAAAAGCCCGGGAGAGGACACGGCACACATTCCCAGAAAACATCTTTGCCTCGCGCTGCCGGGGAACGCTGCCAGGGAACGGTGTTGCGAGGCAAGGAAATTATTATTTTCGAAAATTGTGATGTCTTCTTGAAATACTAATTGGGACATTCTCCGATTTCTCTTAGAGCACGGAGGCGATTGCTCCGTCGAGTCTTCTGATCTCTATTTTCATCCTCAATTCTTCCAGCTGCCTCACTCATTCTCTCTCAGTTTATCGAAGTTAATTTATTCTGAGGCGATGGAAATGCAAGATAAATCCCTAATTGTACTTCACTTTTATTTGAGTTGGGGTGAACGAAATGAGATTTGTGGAAAATGACGCCACTTCCCGTGTTAGCCGCTGGTCGTATCATACAGCCCATATTCCATTGCAGGTGATGGGCGAACGTTCGTGTTGAGATCCGCTGAGCTTCCTCGTACTCGTGGAGTTGAATTTGTGGCAGAAATTGCACTGAATTGCAGTCAAATGGTTGTGAATGAAACGAGATTTGTGGAAAATGACGCCACTTCCCGTGTTAGCTGCTGGTCGTATCATACAGCCCATATTCCATTGCAGGTGATGGGCGAACGTTCGTGTTGAGATCCGCTGAGCTTCCTCGTACTCGTGGAGTTGAATTTGCGGCAGAAATTGCACTGAATTGCAGTCAAATGGTTGTGAATGAAACGAGATTTGTGGAAAATGACGCCACTTCCCGTGTTAGCCGCTGGTCGTATCATACAGCCCATATTCCATTGCAGGTGATGGGCGAACGTTCGTGTTGAGATCCGCTGAGCTTCCTCGTACTCGTGGAGTTGAATTTGCGGCAGAAATTGCACTGAATTGCAGTCAAATGGTTGTGAATGAAACGAGATTTGTGGAAAATGACGCCACTTCCCGTGTTAGCCTCTGGTCGTATCATACAGCCCATATTCCATTGCAGGTGATGGGCGAAAGTTCTTGTGGAGATCCGCTGAGCTTCCTCGGCGTACTCGTGGATTTATGAATTTGTGTCAGAAATTGCACTGAAATTGCAGTCGAGTGGACTTCTGTGCGTGTGTTGTGAATGAATCGCAACGGCTCCCTTCCTTCAGCATCGTCAAAACGCAACATAGAGCATTATTACACACTCGTTCCATGATTCATGATAATGCCTGGATTCTTTTCAAAACAATCAATGTGTGTTCCCTATCTGTGTTTTTCTTTCTTTTTCCCGTCGCGTGTGCATGTGCTGCTGTTGTCTGGCGCACTCCTGCACGTACTTCTCTGACATCCGATGCTTCATATTTTAATTTTTCCCGTCGCATGTGCATGTGCTGCTGTTGTCCAGTGCACCCTGCAAGTACGGCTGACATCCCAGGCTTCCTGTTTTTGTTTATTTGTTTTCTGACGTTTTCTGCTGGCTGAGCTCCTTGCTCTGTGTTTGGTCCGGAGACACCCCCTGATTTAGGTACCATTACCTTTGGGTTATCCGTCATAATAATAATAATAATAATAATAATAACAATAATCTATCTACATTGTACATGGTTGCAGGTCGTTATTTATAAATCTTGATAATTTCAACACTTTTCTACTCGTATACTGAGTACGCGGTGACTTGAGCCGTTTAGGAAACGGAAGTCTTGGCGAGTGTACAAAAGGTAAACCTATCATTTGTACTTCATAACGGAATTGTGCACAAAAATGCACACGCACGTTCGCGCGCACACACACAAGCACACACACAAACACTGTACAAACACACACAAAAGTACAAGCACATGTGCACATACACACGCCTCCCCCCCCCTCCCCCCCCCCCCCCCCACACACACACACACTCAACTCCCCACCCCTGTACCATGTGTACTGAGTCTGACAGACATACAATCATGTTTATCCTTCCTTCGCCACCAGTTCCGGATAATGGTGTCAACAACGAGTTGTAAAATATTGGTATTTTAGGACTCCCTGCCCTGAAGACGAGCACAGCGCCGTGGATCGAGCAGATCCGGCCGCGCCGGCCTAGCGTGCTTCACTTTCTGGCCGAGGCAAACATCGTCCGCGTGCGCGCATCCCGTGTCCTCTCCCGGGCTT